ACATCAAAACACCAAACATGTTCCGAAACAGCACAATAAAACACAATACTAGTGTTTACTACGCCACAAAAAAAGAAAAAAAAAGCATTATTAATATGATTTTGGATGACACAGAACTTTAAAATTACTTTAAAAATGAAAAATAATTATATCATTTAATTTGAAGATATTTTGTATACCTTAAAAATAATTAATTCTATTCCGGGACAAGCAAAAGACCGGGAAATGAGAAACCCTAATAGATACAGAAAAAATCCCGATTTTTTTTTTAATTTCTTGACGTTTCGAGGACTTCTGAGTCCAAAAATTAAATCTTGGGGAAGTCATATTTTGACCGATCGCCATACTCTGTTATATATCGATATAACAGCCGGGAAAGTAAAATTAACTAATTGCCGTTCAAAAAATTATCTTTGCATAAAATTGGGACTGTACTATAGATTACCACCTATGGAATTTCGGGACTTTGAGTATATATTTGAACTCAGGGAACCAAGACGAGTTCAACGGTACCATACTTTTGGACCGGAGACGAAAAATAAGAAAGTTATCATGCATTCTACACCATTTTAGTTTTCCAATAGGTGGCGTTCGAGTGTTCATGCTCCCGACGGACCTCCGCCGAGTGTTTAACGTCACTAGTTACTGATTCACAATAGTTCTTGAACAAAAGAAAAAAAAAGGAAATGGCGTTCGACTGTTCGTGCAATTTCTTGCCTTTCACAGTTCCTTTTTTAATGGTTTGCAGACTTTACCGCAAGATGGTGGTACTAGCAACTACGGCGTCGTCTGCATGATAGCATTAAAAAAGTATGATAACTTTCTTATTTTTCGTCTCCGGTCCAAAAGTAGGGTATCGTAGGATATACACTCAAAGTCCCGAGATTCCATAGGTGGTAATCTACATAATAACCAAAATTGGTTTTAACTTTATTTAAAAATAAATTTATTTTTTTCTTAATTTGAAATTGAAAAAGTGTAATCTGACTATCTCATTCTCTCTCTCTCATTCAGTAAGCTTGCATTTTCCGACATTTCTTAATTTCATTCTTCTAAACTTACCAGCATTACGCATGGAATAGAATATTTTGCTTAAATTTTCTTCATTTAATTAGATTTTGACAATCATTTATATTACTTCATAAAAATCATAGATTTTATTTATATTGGATAACAATGTAGACGAGGGCGGCAAAAAAAGCCTACAAAAAAGTCATGTTCTGAATATGTATGCATGCTTTTGTTGTCGAATTAACATATATTTCACATATCAGACTTTTGAACAATACAATGTTCTTTTGGTTTTACTGACAAATAAATTTGGCGAAAACGCGTTCGACTGTATTGCTTTCGTGCATTGCATTAGCCTATACTTCTAGTGATATGTTACAACACGGGTGCAACAAAACCCTAAGAGGTCGCTAAAACTTTGCAAATATAATAAATTTATTTAAAAATATCAAATATATTAGGCCTATACATTTTTTACTCTTAAATAAATGTAGGAAGATACCTTTAAAATATTATGTAGGAGCTTGTTGTTACCGGCCAAACCCGATTTCAGGCCAAACTAATTTATCCTACGCGTGTCAGGATATAGGACAATCTAGCTTGGCCTAAGGACAATCTAGCTAGGACAATCTAGCTTGGCCTAAATACTTTAGGCTTAACTAGTTTGTCCTAGGCCAAACTGATTTAGAATTACAGTATTATTTAAGTCAGGCCTGGCCAACCCAATTGTTTCACGGGCCACTTTATTCATGCGTAACATTACAATGGGCCACAATTTAGGCAAACATGCTTTTAAAAAAGTAAAACAAATACGAAATGAATGTTATACCAAGAGTTCGTACTCGCACTTGAGCATTATAAGAATGACACATGCAAATTTTCATTTATTTAATTGTTTTGGTATACACAAAACGGAAAGCGAAAGTTTTAATAGATATATAATATCGCTTAGCGGACCACACAATTTAATGTGACGGGAGCGGGTTGGCCAGGCCTGATTTAAGTATATTAATTAATTAATTAATTAATGGTTAAAATAAAATTAAAAGGCAATCAATTAGATGAACAATATTTATTCAAACATAGTCTACTTAATTATAAAAAACGGTATTGATTAGAAGTGACACAACATTTGTACAAAACTATAAAATAAAAATAAGCTAATCAGTACTTATCAGTTTGTATTTTTTTATTAAGCCATGCACTTTTAAAGGTAATT